GCACAGAGAAGCAAAGATAACAGAGATTTTAAGCTGCTCTTGTAAAGTGAGCTACAGAGTAATATGAATGGCAAAGATTATTCTATGGATAGCAAAGATTATTCCATGATGCAAAGTTGCAACAATGCTTGTTCAGAGTTAAAGAGAACTGCATGTAAGGGTAAGCAAGGCAGTGGCTGCTGTGTGCCAGATGCTGAGGGAAAGCGGGGTGGAGGGAAAGGACAACTGAAGTATATCATTGAAAAGTACAACTTTTATTGCATCTCAAAGTGAGGCTGGACACATGAATTTTTAATATATTTTTAAATCAGGGTAAGGATTTATTGTGATTTCTAAATACTGTTGTAATTTCCTAAATTTCTAATACTCATAACAGCAATAAACATGGGAGGTCAAAAGTTAGCCCAATAATTTCCCTAATAAATAATGCTGCATTTTGCTTTCCCTTTTCTGCTTATTTTTGTATTATCCCTAGATCCTCATGTAGTTAATGTCAAACAATTCCAACATAAAGTTATACGCTTCTATATCCAATCCACTTCAACTCACCCCCACCCTATCCCAGTCAGAGGGTAACTACTACTTTTTTTAAAAAAAACATTTGCATTAGATTGTAAGATTTCTTAAGGCCAGGGAAAATGCCTTAATGCCTTACCCACTTTGTTCTCCCCAAATTTCCAGCATACGGCCTATTACAGAACTAGTTCAACAAACAGATAAGTTATGAGTAATGCACAATTGCACAAAGGAACTGGGGAAGAAATGTCCCACGTGAGGGAGCTGAGACCTTCCCCAGGCAGTCTGGTCACTTGCGCCCTTCACTGCAATTTCTCTGTTTCATCTTTGTACCACCCACCTCCAGGATGTACTCTCGTTAAGCAGAGAATCTGTGTCTTTCTCATATTTATATCTAGGGCACAGCACTGAGCCAGGCACAGAAGCAGCTGCTTAAAGATTGTTTGTAGAATTGACAAACATGTGATACTAGCTACCTAACTTGCCTGCCAGATAAACACTAGTAATTCTAGGATCATTTAGTGTGACTAAACATTTAATATAGAACTTTGTTAATCTGCACGGTATCAAAGGCTGGCATGGAGAAGTCAGACATGGTCCCTGCCCAGTGAAGAGTACGTGACTGCAGAGGTGCGAGGCCCTGGGCTGGGGCCAGGGGGGCCAGGACACCTGGGGAGACGAATCCCGGCTTGCCACCAGAACTGTGTGGCTTTGGATCTGCTAAGTGAATGCATTCTCAGTTCATTTTCCTCATATATGATATGAGAACACTGGACTGGGCTGGCACTTTTCAAAACAAAGTTTTTACATACTGATAACTCTTAAAAACTGGGATATTAAGTAGAACTCCAAATATGCATTTACAGAAGATAAAAGGTTGCTCTGGTCAGCTGAAATAGGCCTGATGCTTGTAGGAGGTACAGCCATGCCCCTTCCTCCTCCGCTGTCCCCACTCACATCACCCAGGAAGGGGCCCAGACACCTCCTTGGAATCCCAGGGCTCCATGGAACCCAGCTAGAGAAGCAATGAACTAAACACCTTTGAATTTCCTCCAGTTATAACATCTCGTTTTCTGTAATTCAGTTTCTTGTGAGGTTCTAAATTCAACATCAAGACAGCTCCTGTGCAGGAACGCATTTGCCCACAGGTTTTGCAATGGCAGCGTCTCTCCTGTACCTACTGTCCAAACTGCACAGCTCTAGGCGGGTCTGTTCTTCTCCCCATAGCCTTTTGTGTGGACTTCATTACGTGCAAGCACTGCGCTCAGCAAAAGGGGATGTAAGGAGCAAACAGAGGTGTGCACCATTCCTTCGAGGGTGCACAGTCCGGTGGGATATTCCTACACTGACTATAAGGGGAGCACAGAGTGACGGTGCCATCATAGAGCGCAAAGTGGGGATTTAAGCACTGAGATTGTCTCGGGTTGGTTAAGATCAGGGAAGCGTTCACGGCACAGGTTCTGAAAGGTAAGAAATGTAGATTCCAAGCAGTTACTCCAGGAGCACCTGTACACAGGCAGGAAGTCCTGGGGCAAGTACAGGGCCTATACCTGGTGGCAACTTGGCGGAAATGGAGGCTGTCTGAAGACAGATGCTAGAACTGAAACTGAGGAGTGGCAGGACGCACAGGGCCTAAACAAAGTTCTAGAGCAAAGCAGTGCTTTAACTAGGTTGAAGTAGAGGCAAGAGGCTGCAGGTGGAGGCACAGTTAGGAAGCACAAGGTATGAACGCCTTAATCCAGCCTGAGCGGCAGGGACGGAACTGAGAGGCTGTCAGAAGCCACTTCTGCAGAACAGAGAGAACGAGGAGGCACAGGAGGAGCCAAAGATGATGCAGGGGCCCAAGGCCAGGCAAGCACGTAAACACCAGTATCATTAAGAGAAATGGAGAACATGGGACAAAGTTTAGAGACGATGATGAATGCTAAGTTGCCAGTGGAAATGTCCTGCAGGAAACTGCAAAGGCTGAATTGAACTTGGTATATAGGTCAGAGCTGTACATACATTTGGGAAGAATTTTTACTGAGACAACAGATGCAGTTTAAGAATGAAGGAGAAAGGGGCCTTAGTGAATAAGGATGACTAAGTGCTGGCAGAGGCACCTACATGACTGGGTAAAGGAGGAAATTTGAGTCAGAGGGGTACAGGACGCTGGGTGAGCACGTGTAATCACACACACATGCACACACTCAGTTAACAGGGGAAAGGCAGGTGCCATAAACTGATACTCATGTGTGTACAAATTCTAGTTTTAGGAGCTGTTAGAAGGTACATGAGGATCAAAACAGGACTCAGCAATCCAGAAGGCTGGGTACTGACCGTTTATCTCCTGTAGAAATTCAGTCCATCATATTAACCCCAAAACACTTTTTGTTTTATATTCTCTAGATAAAGCAGTGTTCTTTCCATAGGAAGTCAGCTTGAGAAACACTGATAAATGGTGAGGTTTAAAAATAAACAGAATAGTAAACCTAGAAAGGACAGTTGAGCTCACTTCATCCAATCCTTTCCTTTTTGGGGGAAGAACATTAATTATATGAGAAACTACTTTCGTGCCTTATCTGGGGTGGGTGATAAAGAATAAATGTGGATATGAAAGCACATAAACAGGAGAGATAAAAAGGAAAATGGCAAGTAAGAGAGAAATGAGAGCTGTACAAGCCACAGCATAAGTCACCATTTGAGAGAGAACGTGCTTTAAGTTTACTGTCTTAGAACATTTGCCAGTAAGAGGCTCAGGAATGGCTCATCAGACACAAGTGGACACTGAGGCCTGGAGGTTACCGTGGCCGGGCCCAGCTAGCACACGGCAGAGCTGGGATTCAAACCCATGGCTATCTGATTCTGGAACCTGGGCTCCTGGACTTGACACTCTGTCGCCTTGGAAAGACTCAGGGGAACCCAGTTCCCGGGAAACTGCAACCCACCCATGGGGGGGGGCCCGACATAAAGCTTTCTTGTGCCCAACTGCCACTACACATAAACAGAAATAAAACCTACTGTAAGAAATTCAATATATTAAAAATCTAGATTACAAAATAGATATTCAGGATTATATTCCTTTGGTTTTTTAAAAAAACAACTTAATAGAGAACCCTCAAAATATTCTCTTACCAAGCGTGAACATATTTGTAATTATTTCACTTTAAGTAATTTTCTGTAGATATTCTCTCTAGGTCATGGAATGGCTCTAATATTTCATTTCAGCAAGTTTGTATCATTTATGAAATTTCTGTAGAAAATCCATTTCTATTGATTAGAGATTAGGCCAGAAATTTGGATCTCAGACCATGAATTCTCATTGATCTTACCGAGCTTGCTGTGAAATGACACACTGTCTTTGAGGTGTCCTGGTGTTTACAGACATGGACATGTAAGTTGTCACATGCACTTGCTGAAAATACAGTCTCAACTTAAACTCTGAATCTCTAAGTTAGAGCAGTTTCATGTGACCTTACAGTGAGTAGAAATAATTCAAGTGGTGCTGACACTTTCTATTTATTCTAGCTTATTGTATGTGAGATACAGTCCATTGCTAAACCACCTTTCTCCAACATGCAAATGAACATGCAAAAGACTTAACCCCCAAGATATGATCCTGTAAACCTAGGTTCACTGCAGACTGCCATATCAGGTCACATGGTTAGAAATACTTATGAGTGTCTAATATTAGGGAAAATAAAAAATGAATTTCACATGTAGTTCTAATTTAAAGCATTTTGACCTAACTTCTTGAAACTTGTTAAAAATTTAGGAAACATTATTCCCTAACACTTAAAAAAATTAAATTCTTAACTAATGCACTGATCAGTAAAAATTTAACAAGAGGGATACTGTGGGTCTACATAGAATTAGGTATAATATCTGTGACAGTATTTCCCAAAGTATGTATTGAAACATTACATTTCAATCTCAAATAGGTTCAGGAAACAGTGCTAATTCTATTTCTCTCTTGGAGATTGACATCTATTGGTATTGTGTAAGTTCCTCAAAGTTCTGCAGTCAAAAAAAATTTTTTTAGCTGTATTTAATCCACCATTTCTCCAGCTCACCTATCAATATCCTGGTTTAATCAGTGTCATAGGAACTAAGATCAGAAAACTTAGATTTATGATGACAGGAAAGAGAGAGTTAAAATAAGTGGATGGTACCAAAATCATCTGTACCAGGTTTTGGCATGTATGTATTTTTATCAGATTTTCTTGTGGAATGGTATTTCTTAAAGGTTACATTAAAAGATAATTAATTGCCTACAGCGTTAGCACCAGATAAAAGCAGAAGAGGAGCATGATGGCACCAGGAAAAAGACACAGGATTCTTGGGGTTTACCTGGGTTTTACCCAAGGTGGGCGAGCCACAGTGTGAAGTGAGAACTGGCCATCCTACTTAGTCCTTGTCCAGGGCCACCTCCACGGCACAGAGGGGGACAGCAAGGAAAGGGCAAGCCACTCATTCATTAAAGTGCCGACACACAGCATACTTACACTGCCCATTCAAGCTTCTCATTCTTGATTGAGTTGTACAGAGCCTGTAAAGAGAGAAGAGATGGAATTATTCTTTCATTCTGTTCTGCATTTTGGATTCAGTGAATGACCAAAGCCGAAAGTCCCAAGCGAGTGTCAGCAAGCAGTTCCCCAGGCCCTGCTGGCCACCCTGGGGCGCTGCAGAGGGGAGGAAGACCAGGGGGCGCAATCGAGCGTGCGGTAAGCAGTGTTCGGTGAAGCACTTTTCTCAAGCTAAAATGTCTTTTGTAAGTAAGACCCATAACACTCTATTACGTTTTACCATAGCAAAATATTAGGCTATGATTAGAACTAGACCACGTACTCTATTTTCTTATTCAAAATACAGTCTTCAAGTTTTTACTAGTCTGGATACTGGTGTATTCATACCTTTTCACTAATGGATTAAATATAACTGCTTTCATAACAACTCAAGATACATGCGAAGATACACAGAAGGGGGACAGAAGCTTGCCGTTTCTATGCCGATGATTTCAGCAGCTTTTATCAGTGCAGCTTCACAATCATACTGTAAGTTTGTGGTGTTACACTGGTGGGTGCAAGGTGGTGGGGGGAGACACAAGCTTCTTTACAGCCTTGGTTACAGTCAACATCAGCATAAGGCCCCCCTGATTCTGCAGCTCTGGCATTATGTACAGACTCCGTGTGACCCACTGTCGGACTGTGATGACTACCCAGGAAATGCTACCCCACGTCTCCACTTTGTTAACTTCAAGTAAGATGTTATAAAGAAAATGAATGCACCTCTTAGATATAAAATCACCACAATAAATTATACTGTAGAAAAGGCGAACTAGGTGCATAATGTGTGATGTTGGGACATTTCTTCAAAGGAGGGCATGGACCTAGTAGATCAGCAGAGACTTCCTCCACTTCGAGATGGAAAAGTGGGGCAGACGCCATCTGTCCAAGGAGGAAACGGCAGGTTCAGAAGCTGTGCTAGGAAGCACAGCAGAGCACAGGAACCACCTGGTCTTCCCACCTTCTGCCTGTCTTGTCCCAGTCAGAGGCACATGGCCTGTAAGCAGGCACGGAACCGAAAGCCTGCAGCCAGGAGTGGCCCCCTTTCAGCAAACAGTTTCCAATTCTGTACAGATACATTTTAGTTGCAGATTTTTATTATTTAAGATTCAATACATGTACCCTTAGTATTGTGACAGACTGTGGAGTTCTTCAGTGTGGCTACATGTCAATATAACCAGTGGATAATTATGGGAGCTAATAAAAATTAGGACACATTTCATCATATCATGTGGTAGAATGTGCCCTCAAATACAAAAATGATGGAAAATCAAATTAAGTGAGGGCAAACCGAAGCAGAAAGACATGCGGTAAAATGCACATTCTCTTTGAAGAACTCGAGTTCACTGTAGGTCTACAACAGCCTAATATTTTACTAATGTCTCAGGAGGCTGCACTCACAGAAGTGCAGAGAGCAGACATCTAACTCAGCCCTTGGGAGACTCTAGATGGAAAAATGCCTTTTCAGTGGATTCTATCACTTGTATGAGCCATTTTGGACCCACGTGTAATAGTGGGCTGAGAACTGCAATTGGAGAGATGGATCACTAAAGGTTATATATTATCATTCTCAATACTACCCAGATTTAACAATGAAGTAATGATAAAAAAAAATCTGTTCATAAAAGTAGAGTGTTGAAGATGATATCTATGCACCTAAAAAAATTCCAGTACATTCTATGCCCTAGAACAAATTTTTTCAAAAAGTTTGCCCATGTCGCTTAAAGAGATACTGAAATCTAATTTTAAAAAATTTTGTTAATCAACAATCTATTACAAAGTATCTTGTAAAATTTAACAAACATACTGCTCTGCAGGCCAAGTCCCTCCCAGTGTGTGTTTATAATACCAGAAATCTAAAAGATAGATGTTATGCTCACTCTGTTCAATCACAAAATTACCAAGGGGTTTTCTTGAATATTTTCAGTGCTTTACGGTGATCCATTAGTTCTCTCAAAAAAGGAAAATTTGCTTTGTAAGTACATCCAATACTCACATACCCTTCATGACAACAGCCTGTTCTCTGGCCTGCATGGCTTAGTTAGGGACTGGATTCCCTTAGCCCTCTTTTTCTCCAGCCCGACCGTCACCACTTCCTCGCTTGTGCAGCCTGGAACCCAGGCCCTGTCACCTCAGCCATCCTTGCAAATATCCCCAACTTTTGTCCCACTGCCTGGCTATCCTACCTGAAAAGGAACATTGTAGCTTTTGAGATAGTTACTCTAACTTCTCCACATTTATATCCCATGTATTAGGTAAAGTCTTCTTTACCTTACCAATCACCTAAAATCTAAGGACCTTAGGGGTAAAGGAAGCCTAACAGGTCATAGAGCCACATCATAGGTAGGTACAGATGGAGCCGGCCTCAGGGACATGGGAGTCTAAACTCTCTTCTCCTCTCTCTGCCCCAGCCCCCAACTCCCTGTTTCTTTACTACACGAGAAACACCCACTTACACCTCTGTGTCTCTCCACAAGAGAAAGCAAACAGTTTTTCTTCCCAGCTCCCATTTGAAAGCCATCAGTGGGTGTGGCTCAGGCACCCAGCCTCCCTCACAGGCACCTCCATGGGGCTGCGGGCTGGGCAACCGACTGGGCCCATCCTGACACCGGGCCTGGGCCCTAAAGAGGGGGATGCAGTGGCTTGCCTTGGTGTGAGCCTCCTGAGCTTCACAGCCTCCCCAGTTAATGTGACTAATTCAGCAATGGAGAAAATCAAACAACAGACCACAAAATGCTGCTAACAGCATTTCAAACTTCAACACAGCCTTCAGTCATGAGCCTCCTTCAGCTCTCTGCCATCCTCCCTAAAAAGTGCCTGTACGACTTTCCTTCTCCCTGGTGGTAAGGGCAGGGGTGCCCCGTCTCTGCTGGGCTAAGCCTCTAACACTGGCCCAGCACCTGCCCTGTCTGAGGTCACATGTCCCTTTCGTTCAGCTTTCAACTGCATGCGAGTCCCTCCCAACCCACTTCTACAAGTTGGTTACCGCCCGTTGCTCCTCAGCCCCTGTTTTAGCTGAGTTACTGAGAGGAGTTTCTGCAAGTCTTATCTCTGCTTGATCCCTGCAACTCAGGCAATCCAGCCTGTACCCTGTTTCTTCATTAAAACCATCAAACCAGTTCATCAGCTTCCTTCATGCTAAGTCCAGGCCCCTTTCAGGGTTCCTGCATCTCTTCACCTTTCAGCAGCACCTAGCACACCAACACCCTCCTCGTTTTCGGTGAGTACAGTCTCCTGAGTTTCCCTCACTCCTCGGATGGTCCTTCTCACTACTCACATCCTCAGCTTATCACTTATATGGTGGGGACCCTAAGGGTTTATCTTCAGCCCACGTGAACTCCTGGGAACTTCAGTCCCACATGTCAGCTGCGCCTGGATGCTCCCGGCACCCCACAACCTGCGTGAAGAGCAACTAGGGAGTGAGGACCTCATACTCAGTGTACCCTTAGTTTGGTGAGCTGTATTGGTATGCAATATTTAAGTTTTTGATTACGCAATCACCGCTCATAAACCCAAGGATAGGTAGTTTATGCAGACATAAGACTTACCCAAGTCAGAATCATAGAACTACCAGAATTCTTCTAACTATTGTTTCATTCAAAATATGTTTATAGTCCTTCCACACAGTCACAAAAGCTCCAGGTTAAAATCACATTTATCACCAATCTTATTTCTGCCTACTAATAGTGTAAGAACAAGACTCTTGAGTAATAATGTTTTTAGGACAAATTGTTGAAACTAATTTCCACTTGAGAAACAACAAAATGTAATTTCACAGCTGAAAGGGGCCTTACAGATCAAGAAATTCTTCCATTCATAGAATAGGAAAATGAAACCCAATGTTAATTAATTTCTCTCAAGGTCCTGCAGCTGATTTTCACAAACTTTGACTCAAAGGATCTATTACTCTCAGAAATCAAGTGACGACATTCAACTGGTACTCGCTCCTCCCAGCCAGCTCCAGCCAACCACATTCTTGCCTCTTAAACCCACCTGCCCAGCATTGCACATGCCTGCCTGAAGTCACAGCCCATGTGAAAAGGTAGCAACATGGCTGTGCCACTCTTAGAATAGATTTTGAAATGTTGGTCACTGTAACATTTTATTCTGAAAAGACAAGCATTAAACAAGAGCTGCAGTTGCTGGGGCACATGCTTGAAATGCCCTGCTGGAGGGTGACGGGCCTGTTGCCCTGACCCCACACCACCAGCCTGGTGATCAGACGCATCTGCCCTATGAAACACTGAGGCTGGAGCTGTAGCCACAGCTCAGGAAAATAATTTATCTCTAGCTATCTGACCTCAATCCAAGAATGCGAGGTTTATGGGTGAACACATCCATGGAGAGCCGCCCTCTGTCTGAGGCCATGGCGTGGTAGCTGTGGCTAAGTGGAGAGGTCTCACATCCGCCTTCATGGGTCACAGCAGCCTGCATGGGAGATATGCAGTGAGGTGATGACCCACCGTGACAGGCCAAATGATGGACCCCCAAAAGATGCCCAGGTCCCAATCCCTGTGGAACCTATAAATTTTTCTGTATATGGCAGAAAGTTTGCCAATGTGATTAAATTAGTGATCTTGAGACGGGGAGACTATCTGGGTTGGGTGGTGTCTGTGTAAGAAGGCGCAGAGGGAGATCAAAGAAAAATAAAGAAAGCGATGTAAATATGGACATAGGAACTGGAGCGGTGCCGACACAGGCCAGGGAATGCCGGCAGCTGCCACAGGGTGGAAAGGCAGGAAGTTCTCCACAGACCCCCCCCCACCCCCAGGGAGTGTAGCTGTGTCACCTCCATTTCAAGCCTTCTGGGCTCCAGAACTGTGAGAACACATTTCTGTTATTCTAAGATACCTCCTTTTTGGTAAATTTGTTATAGAAGTCCTAGGAGACGAATACACAGGAATAAATGGAAGACATCTGAGTAAAGAATGATTTTCAGAAATATTTCCAGAGTCGTCCCTAAGTAACAAAGTCTTCTACCAGA